AAATACTATACAAGCTAAAAGCAACTATATATATATTATTATACACCTCTATCAGCCCCTTTAAGCCTCTCCCTTTAGTCCCGGAAAAGCCCTTAGGCTGATAGGTAACGCAGTCTTTCTCTCGAGGGACTGTTCGGGGAACCAGAACGCTCCCTCCACCATCTCCAGCTGTTTGCTGAAGTCCTTTCTTTGTCACGAAGTCCAAGAAGATAGCTCTGAGCCCGTCCTCCTTGGTTCCGTGCCATCTCTGCTGTGTCATTCTCACTCTCATACCTCAGTTCGTAGGTTGCTGTAGTGTAGTCAGCTTATCAAACATCCTCCAAGTCAGTTTTTGGCTGCCCCTGGTCGAACCTCTGTAGGGCACCCGCTGAGCCTCTCTCTGGCCCGTCTCCAATTTTGCCTGGGGTTTTTTCCTTCTCCTGGCACCGAGCTGCTTTCGTTATCAGCCTGTCTCTTTTGGCTCGGCTTCAAAATACTAAGCCTCGCATCCACTCCCACTTAACAGTGAGAGGGAAAAAGCCCTGGCTCAGCTTTTGCTACAGGTGTTTGGTCCAGTTACGAACTGTCCCGAGCTCTGCAGTCTGGCTGGAAAGGGGTGGGGGGAAAGAGGGCCTAGCCTCCTCACAAGGAGCTTGCCTCTCTCTCCCTCTTACCTTCAGGTGTTGTGAATCCCTTCCTTCACAACACACACTCACTCCAGTGCTGCCTCCAACCCTGGCTTAGGCAGAGTTGCGGGGCTGCAGGGCCTCCCTTCCCCCCAGAGGGGGAAGAAGGAGGCCCTGCCACCCCTGGCCTTCCCTCACACACACAGCAGCAGACACAGACCAATTGCCAACAACTTCCACCGGTTGTGTATATATGATTTTTCAGCAGGAGCGAACAAAACAAGCGGTGATTGGCCCTCAGGGAAAACTGCCCTGGCATCTAATCACCTCTAAGCCCCTGGCTCCCAGGGGGGCAATCTGAAACCATAACAACCTGTCAAGGGTGGTTTGTAAGGCTGACGAGGTGAAAGAGTCCAAGTTCTCACTGATAGACTTATTTCTAGGTACTGTTGAGTAATTTAGTCACTTTGGTGATAATTAGTTTGCTGAGCCTTAGACTGACACGCTCCAGAGCCCACCCAGCTGTGAAAGAAACAGATCCTCTCGTTGTGTGCCAGAATTGCTCCAATACTTTACATCAATATGAATCCATTAACAGCAATAGTTTCATGGGCTTTGAAAAAGATGGTGTAGCACAGACGATGCTAAGAGACTAATTCTAACAATGATTTTATTAACCCTGAAGAAGTATGAAAAAAGAGCACTGGGCTTGGTTTCCCAGGACTCTGATTTCTCAGGGCTGGCAGTTGAAACCAGCAAAGCAAATGTTCTGTTGTGCAAAGCAAGTGATTGTATTAGATATGAAAATGCTCAAAAAAAAAAAAATCAATAAATTCTGAACTTTCCAATGCCATTTTTATTTCAACATTTAGAAGACTGGATACATTAAAGATATGATTTATTTCAATTTTGGAAAGTTGCTGAAAACTAAAACACAGAACAATCAATTCTCCCTAAGTATCTAAGATACATATGGGACTACTCCCAAAATAAAACTATGTGCATAAGTTACAACAGAACTGAAAGGACTTCACCAGCTTCAGTAGTTTGAGTTCACCTCATTCAAAGTCAAATAGATTATCCAGAGAAGGCATGAAAAGCACTTCACAAAATTCCACATCCACAAATTTAAAGAAATCACTGAGCTGTTTAAAAAAAACTAAAGAAAGAAAATAGTGGGGGGACATGTGTATCTTCTACTGCAAAATGAGAGAAAGGCCAAAGCTCAGCAGTATGACGCAATGATATTGAGTTCCAGAGAATCTAGTTTTCTCAGGGAATATGTGTGGGGCCTGTTAGGAGCTACCAAAGCTGGTAGCAAAGAGCAGGTGAGGCTGCCACAGCTCCACATTCAGCCCATAGTGTGGCTGAGCACAAATTCCCAAAAAGCACGTGTGTATACACACACCCCCCAGACATACACACATCTGGCAGCAAAGTTCAACACACACAGAAAACACAGTGGTCTCACACTCCCAAGCAGCACCAACGGTCTGATCCTGTTCCCCTCTCTGGCTGATGAGGATGAAAGGCTGTTAGTAGGAAAAATACACAAACAAACATATATGTAATCATATACATATATAAATAAACACAATGAGGACCTCTCCAGCTTCTGGTTTTAGACATGGTCTCCAGTTGCTGACACCAAAGAAAACAGCTATAAATGGAGTTCAGTGAGAAGATAGGAGAGACTATATTGTTCAGGTATGAGGTATGGACAGACAGACACCTGCACTGACCATCTCCTGTTCACATGTGGTTGACAGGCCCCTTTTGTCTCTACATTCATAGAATCATAAATTATGTTTTTCCCAATACGCTTTGATTTCTGACTTTTTCGACCTTTGATTTCTATCCAAAATGTTTATTGCAAGTCCTGTACAAACCCAAAATACACTTCCGATATGTCCCACAGGGTGTGCCCATCCCCTGTAAGTAGTACTGCTCTTAGTTCATGAGGTGATCCTGAGAGTCTCCCCAGTCAACCCATTTGATGGTTTTCTCACCTGGACCATGGGCTGATTTCTGTCCTGTGAAAACCCTGGGAGCAGCCAGGTCACGGGCTCCACTTCTCTGTCGAGGTTATTGGGATTCCCCCATTCCTTTTGTGTTGATGGAGACTGGCCTTCAGCCACACCACTGGCCCCTCTTCCCTTTCCTTGCTGTTCTACAGGATGGGCTCCTCAATCACTTGGTGCAACCTGTGAAATTCATTCCTTTGAGATAAACCCTTAATAAGGTCTTACTTGTAAGAATGTAAACCAAGGTAAACATATACAAAGTGGAGTTCATCCACTCATGATTATGCCTCTGTGCTCCTTTGTGTCTCTGGAGATGAGCACTTTGCCATTTAACCTTGCAGATTCTTCTTCTGTAATTTGAGAGACATCTCCTTTTGCATGCACTGAAACTTCTGCTGAAGTCAGACTGAAGGTCTATTTAGATGCTACTTTCACCCCAGCTATTATCTGCAAGGAGTGAATCTATGGAATTGTAAATTGACATAAATTCTTAATTGTTAATAAAAGCATTTTAGGAAAAACAAATTAAATTAAGAGTAAGAAAATTACCACTACCAGATGCTACTCATCCAAGAACTTGAAGATGAAACCACTGAGCTACTAGTGATTATAAACTAATATTTAAACTGGTCTCAGTACATATGTCCAGGGGTGTAGTCAGCTCACAGACCTATAATACTAATCAATACCATGCTGGAGTCTGGAGGGTAACTCAGCTAGCTTTGGGCAAGATTCAGACTTCTCATGCCATGTTAAGATGGTCCAGGATAACCAAGACATCTGTATAAGAGCTGTAGATAACACACAAAACCATGGAGAAGGTTATTCTCCTTTCCTGAAACTCCACCAAAATTTTGCTGTGGTTTCTCCTGTGGACAGTATGTGAAAAATGAACTTTGACAGATGTTAGTTTGTCCTAGTTAGAACAGCTGGGACTGATTCATCACTGGATGGGTGTAGCCCAAAACTGTGTATTCTATGGCCCTCCATGCCATTTTCCCAGAAACTGTTGTCAAAGGGGAGGGGGCTGCCTGTGGGGGGATGTTCCTGTCCTCATACCCTTTTATGGAATTCCCTGCTCTGAGCATCCTCATACCCTTTTATGGAATTCCCCGCTCTGAGGGAAGGACTGACCATTCCTGCCTGAACTGGAGAATATATAAACCTGGAGTTTCAGAACCTTTCCACCACTCGTGGGATCCAGAGGAAGACTGCAGCTCATCGCTCTCAACCAGACTGAGACCACCACCCTCAACTGGACTGCAATCACCACTTTTGGCCAGACTGCAACATCTCTCCCACCAGCAGGTTTTTCCCCTCTCCCTTTACTGTGGACTCAAGGGGGGCCCAAGGAACACCACTTTGTTCATGCCCCAGGGTGCTGGGTTATACATTTGGGTTTTGTGGGTTAAAACCAATTGTTTGTTTGTATAATTGTACTTACTGTATTATTTTAATAAATTGTTATTCTGACTTATAATCTCTCCTTTGAGTTGAGTTCATTTCCCCTGCTGGTTAACTCTTAAACAAGCACATAGCTACATTGCTTAGTTTTCTACCAGAGGATACTTTGACACTTGAGAAAACCACAAGGAGCAGAAATACTGATTATTCCATACAGAACAGAATAAATTAAAGCAGAAGAATGGGAGGTCTGACAAGGCTTATAATACATTCCAGTAATTATAGAATGGTAGTGATATTTACTGCTTCTCCAGATCACCTGGAAACATTTTAATATAAAATGAATAAAATAATCACTTTTCCACTTTCTTACCTCCTACTCTACCTAAAATGAACTGAGTGGAATCCTTCAAGGTTTTCATCAACTAATCTCATTCCTCACTTCCAGTTGATAGTTTTCCAAGTAACACTTTCCCACAACATGTTGACACAGCACTCCATACTTACAGATAAGGCCAAGTCCAAAGCAAATATGTGAGGGCTTGTCCAATTTAGAAAAAAAAGGATTCATATTTCTTTGTGGTTTTCCAAATAGAAACAGGAATTTCAGTGGGGACACCTGCATCCCTTTTTACATTTTACAATGTAAACTGTAGATTGTAAATTTTACAATGTTAACTTATTTACTAAAGCACCTCTAAAAAGATAAAGTTAGGCAGAAGCCTAACTTTAACTGTGCTCTAATGAAAAACCTTGGAGCGGAGGTGGGATTTTTCAGGAATGCTTATGTGACTTTGAGATGAGATTTATTATCAATGAAAAGTCAGCTCTAGAGCTTGTCTGACAGTCTCAAGTCACTCACTTGCCATTCCTTGGATAATTTCAAAGGCAAATTCTGCATTAGGACACCTACTTCTTCTAGTGACACAGTACTGATGACAGCCAAGATAACAGTGAGTTTGCATGGTAATTTGTAGTCTTTATTGATATAGAAGATTTAAGTTTTACAGAACATTAGGCAAACCCACCCTCTTACTTGCCCAGTACTTGAGGATGAACAGTTACAGACAAGAAAATGATCCAGTTACTTGTAGTGCAGCTAATTATTAAATTACATTAAAACTGTAATAACAATATGATATTGTAAAATATAAGTTCATGTACAGTATATAAATACAATAGCTTTCTGTTCCTTGTCAGGAACATAAGCCAACCACATACATTTTTCAGTTTAATTTAGCTTGTGCTAAAGTACATTTCCATCTTAAATATATATTAATGTAAACCATACCTATGAAATCTCTCAGTTTCACTCCCTGCCTCTTAACTTGCAGCTATTACTACAGTACTATAAAAGCTGAATCAACATTCCTATTCAGAAGAGGTGTTTCTGTCAGAATTTCCTATCTTTTAAATCTTTGGCAATGCTTCACAGGACACTCTCATTAGTCAGACTTAGTATTTTACAACGTGACATTTTAATCTTATCCAAACTACGATACTCTGATGCCTGATTCTTTCTATTTGAAAGAGCAGGCCATGCAAATGCATTGTATGAGTGTTAAAATAACAAAAATCCTACACTGTAGGAGAAAATTGACATTGTGCAAAATATCTTAATAAACATTTTCAAGATTCAAATGATACAACATTGTTAGACGTGGCAACACTGGCCCACTGCATAAACACACTACTTCATACCTGGTCAGTCAGTGGCAACACACTTGTCTGAAAATCTGCGCTCTGACAGGTTGCACTGCTGTCAGACACGGCAGTAAGATGTGTATGGCTTTGTATTTGGGCCAGGTTATCCAAACTCTGATGGCTAAGTTTGGACCCCTCAAACCTATCAAGCTTCTAAACAAGTTACAGCCTTTCAAAAAGATATGGTACCTTCACTGGGCACCAAGGTCACCTCTTTAAGTTGCAGGTACCCAGGTCAGCAAATCTTCATCGATAGTACCATGGCAGTATTCACTGGCACCTGCCAAATTAACCACCCAACTCTGAACTGCTCAAGTCTTTCTGCACCCTGGTAGAAGCACTTTCTCAGAGCTGCTCACTACAACACAATTGATGCAGAACAAACAGTGTGAATGGATTTGAAAGTCCTTTATTCTCCAAACACACAAGGAGAAAGATGAAAAACTCACAGGAAAAATAACTTGTGTTTAAATCCTCTCAGTCTACTAAAAATGTTCCATGTACAAGTATTTACTGTCAAGTAAAATATGCTGCACAGAAATATATTCTTATCGGTATGTAGTCTATAGTTTCGGTAAACAACAGATTCATTATGAAACAGATGGAAATACTTAGATTCCAAGTCTTTTAAAACAGCTTAAAGACTAAACACCCTTTAAGATGAAAAGCTGAAATTACCTTTTGTGTCTGCTAACTACCTGTATTTGCTCCTCTGTGGCACTTTCACAAGAAAGCACCTGCAGAGACTCCTCCTTTTAAAGTGCCTGCCAAGTATTTTACTTTGTCCATGCTAAAATGAAAATTAGAGCATTACTCAAAACTATTGCTTGAACAAATACATGCAGTTTAAACTACATGCTATAACGAATCCCTATCAGAAATGCCCTCATCAACACGGAGATGAAAGTGCTCATTACAGTCACCAGATGGTAGATGACAAGGGAAATATTCTGAAAAGAAAATATAAATATAGATATATTTAGTAGTATATTACTCTAGTACTGTAATTCCAAATGGTAGATTACCAAATGGCAGATTTCTGAGGAATATACTGAAGGCAAGCAAAATATTACACATATTTCTATCTTAATTTATATGACTACATTGGAGAGGTTTTGGCATACCATATTTCTTGGAGGAATGTTATAATTAAAAATAAGTTTCTTCAGAACGGGAATGAGTATGATAAATAGTTCTATTATTGTACAAAATACAGGGGGTTTTAGAAAACAAGACCAAAAATAGAGCTTCAACATTTGGAGGGAAAGTCATCTATGAAGTGTGAGACAGAAAGTCAAATATGAACTCTGAAAATCCGGATTGCACCTGGGGACTCAGTACACAGGCTTGCTAACAAAACCCATTTCTGCCCATTTACCAACTTATCAACTTGTTCTTTTTTTCTTCTAAAATAGACAAAAGAAGCAAAAATATATAAAGGGCATGTTAGATACTATTTAAGGCAGAACATAAGAATCCAAAGCCAATTATTATATGTTCCAACAGAAATAAAGATATGCAGTCTACAGACTTCTAGCAATAGGTAACAAAAAATACAATATTTTATACATTTGTATAGTTGAAATCAAGGATAAAGAAATGGTGTAAAAAATGGGTCAGGATAACAGTTACCAAAAAATGTACAAAAATAAACTGTTTATCATCTGTGGTGTTGAATGTTTTTGCATCATGAAACTAATATTGCTCTGATAAACAACATCCTGTAACGTTTCATCCAGAGTCCAGAAGGGATATATAATCATTTTCTAAAAAAATAACGTATTTTCACATGTATACCCTACATCTCTAACGAACTACCTCTCTACACAGTACCAGTAGTTGAAAGCAGGTCCTGAGTCAAGAATTTCTTGTTAAGGAACAAAATAGTTCACAGCTCCTCGTTATTACTTTAAACCAACCACCAAGTTTGTAGCATTTAAATCTGCAGGGAAGCTCTCTGTTGCGTTAGCTAGAACTGCGGACGTGGGATAAACGATTTCTTCAACCGTCACATATGTCCCTGTTAAAAATCCAACAAATCCAATAACAGCGATAAAAACATCCTTAAATACCGTCCATAAACTTAAGTTTTCCTTGTAGAAAGTGAGGATTTCAACCAGAGGTGGCAGAATCAGTCCCAGAGTGCTGCTGCTGACAGCTCCAACGAAAGAAATCACCAGGTCTAGGCGAGGGATCAGAACTGCTACAGCACCTAAAACATAAGAGAAACACTGGCTTTAGATTCAACATCCTCATGAAAAACAAAACTGCAAAATATACACAGTCTAGTGGTTCAGGTTTTTTACAAAGCTCTATCATTCACTGTTTTTCCAGCTCCAAGTGGTATGCATGATATAGATTAATGCCTGTATTTGTCAGTAAGCCTCATCCTGATGCTCATCTGAGATACTCGGTTTCAATTCTGAATTTCTGCATGAACTGGCAGAGCTTCAAGTTAAAGTGTTCTTGTACTTACAGGGTAGATAGATTTGGCCTGCAAATCACAGAGAAATGAGCAATATGAAATTGTATGGACATGTTTCCCTTTTTTGGTTGTTGATTGGTTTTTAAGATGAAAGAATAAAAGTTGAGGAAGATGAAGGGAAAGGGCTGTTGCAGGCTGCCCAGGAGACAGTGGGCAAAAAAATACTACCATCAACTAATAGATATAACTAAAAATCTAAAAGTGACATAAAATTATTCAAAATTAACAAAACCTGCTTGTGACTTGGCAGTCACAGTCATTTAAGTCACTTTACCCTACAACCTTGCCTCTTGAAAAATCTTGGTTTATACAATTGCATTTAATTTGTAAAATGTTGCTGTCATAGTTGCGCAGTTAAATAAACGAGAACTTCGCTCTGCCAAGAGGAGTCTGAACACAAGACCAACACAGCCTTTTAAGCATGGCCAGTCTCACTTACTGAACCTACAACATTTATAGAAACAGAATCCATCATGTTGGACCAGAAACTTCTGGTTTTAACCCCTTTGGCTGGCAAGCCTGGGCAAGTACCCTAGTATTAACTCAGATACAGCAGTTGTCTGTCATGTAATGTTTTCAGTCCTGTATCAGCTTTCAAAGGCCTCTATATGACCCCTGTATGTGGTGGAAATGTCATTTTTCCCTCCCATGAATATATATAGCTTTGTAGCTATCAGACATTAGTGTAAACATCTACAGCACTGGCCTGCTTGCCACTTTCTGTCACTTCTTATCAGAAGAAGCAATCAGGAAGAAAGGGAATGGGAAAAACAGGTGTAAAAGCCACTAGCACATAAAAAATACAACATAATATGTTTTGGTTCTTCCATACCTCTTCTCTTAACTCTTAAGCCATAATAAAAGCATGTTTGGCTTTAGAAAAACTTCACCAATCAAATACAATGTAGACAGTGTTTATGGTAATAAACAAATCACAGAATCATAGAATCACAGAATATGTTGAGTTGGAAGGGACCCATAAAGACCACTGAGTCCAACTCTTAACCCTGCACAGGACCATCCCCAAGAGTCACACCACGTGCCTGAGAGTCTCATGCAAATGCTTCTTGAATTCTCTCAGGCTTGGTACTCTGGGGAGCCTGTTGCAGTGCCCAACCACCCTCTGAGTAAAGAACCTTTTTCTAATACCCAACCTAATCCTCCCCTGACACAACTTCAGGCCATTCCCTCGGGTTTTGTCACTGGTCACCACAGAGAAGAAATCAGTGTCTGCCCCTCCTCTTCCCTTCACAAGGAAGTTGTAGACTGCCATGAGGTCTCCCCTCAGTCTCCTCTTCTCCAGGCTGAGCAGACCAAGTGACCTCAGCCGCTCCTCATACAGCTTCCCCTCAAGGCCATTCACCATCTTGTTGCCCTTCTTTGGACACTCTGTAATAGTTTATGGAACAAGGAGGGAGGAAATCCCCACATAACATGTGAGGATCAAAAACACAAGGCGTGAATCAGCTTTATAATCAATAAAACCATGCTTTCTACTTGCAGAGCATCTTTGCTGTGGGCTGAATGCCACCAGCTGCCTAAAATTCTGACATAACCTTGATTATGAAAGGCAAACATACTCAACTGATGTTTGTGTTGACCTTCTCCATTGAGAATATCTAACCCGGGGAAACTGCATTGGCAAATACACTCAAAATTCACTTACAGAACACAACAGGTTACCACTGCTACCAGCTAATTGTTTGTTAGACATTTTAATAAAACTTGTAACTACAGAGATCTCACATAAAAAGGAGGTAAGACTGAAGGTACAACCCTGCAGAGGGATAAAGGATTCTCCAGCCCATCCTATTTGAAAGGAACATAGATGGCACAGATCTGCCACGAAAAATCAATTAACTTGTTTCTACTTGTCATGACTATAGTTTAGTAACACTTTGTGATTCTACAGAGACATGAGAGACACCACTTGGTCACAGGAAGCTTGGGCAGAGACAAAGGTGGAAACCTTAGAAACACCCTGACACTCAAAAATAGGCAAGACAATGTTTCTTTATCTCACTGCTAGGATGGACCTACTCCAAGCCAACCAATTTCTTCCATTACTTGATATGACATTTAGAGACTGGAAATGTCACATGTTTATGCGTTATCCAGCACAGAGCTTAATGAAATAAGTCACAAAGTACCCACCTCTCTAACTTTTGCAGCCATAATCCTGTTAAAGCCATAAAAGTAAATGCCATGAAAGCCTAAACCACACAGGATGAGCACCCAGACCAGACTGGCAACATGATACTTACACCATCAAACACGGTCCAAAAGTAACTGAAAAGTGTAGCTGAAGTATATTTACAATGTCTCATAAAACTCTCAGCTAATTACTAAGTTATTAATATGAACAATGTGTTGTTCAGAAGTAAAAGAGAGGGCTGCACATTTATTATCTTGCCAATTCAATAGATGTAGTGGGTGTATTCATTTAATACAGATTTTCAACTTCTGTAATAGGTCTTTCAGTTCCACATGTGTCCAGAGTTTAAAAGGCACTCATTAATTTATAGTTCATAGTTTTGATTGAAACACTCTGCTTTATTAAAATAATGAGAGTATGTTTCATATTTTTTAATTGGAAAAAAACCCAACTCTAGTTTATAGTTGCTTTAGGTTACAGAAAAACAAAATGCTGTGTGTTGGTTTGAATCTCATCAAGCCCTTGTCTGACTCATACGAATTTGTATGGATCTGGATATTGCTGTGGGAGGAAGTTTGGAAATTTGCTTCAAGGTTTTAATTAGTGTCTTATTTATTCTCTAACAATTGAAAAGAAATACAACTCATGTACTCAAGAGTTAAGAAAGGGGTCCATTTTCCAGAAGAAGTAAACAAGGGGCATTCCTACAGGTATGGAGTCTGATTTTCCCAGCCATGTGTAGGTTTTAAAAATACAATGCTAAGAAGAAATTCTGAATTTGTACCAATATCTGCAAATTTGCTAATGGTACACTCAATCCCTTCATCCAGATCATCAATAAAGATACTAAACAGAACTGGGTCTAGCACTGATTCCTGGGGGTCACCACTAGTGACCGGCCGCCAACTGGATGCAGCCCCGTTCACCACCACTCTCTGGGCCCGGCCCTCCGGTCAGTTCCTAACCCAGCACAGAGGGCCCCTGTCCAAGCCGTGGGCTGCCAGCTTTTCCAGGAGAATGCTGTGGGAGATGGTGTCAAAGGCTTTGCTGAAGTTCAGGCAGACACATCCACAGCCTTCCCCTCATCCACCAGGCGGGTCACCTGATCAATAAAGGAGTTTAGGTTGGTCAGACAGGACCTGCCCTTCCTAAACCCGTGCTGGCTGGGTCTGATCCCTTGTCCATCCTGCAGGTGCTGAGTGATTGCACTTAGGATGATCTGCTCCATAACTTTGCCAAGCACTGAGGTCAGGCTGACAGGTCTGTGGTTTCCCAGGTCCATCTTGCAGCCTTTTTTGTGGATCAGCATGACATTCGCCAACTTCCAATCATCTGTGACCTTCCCAGTGAGCCAGGACTGTTGGTAAATGATAAATTAATATGACACCTTTTTTTTGATCAACATTTAAATTGTCCTTAGGTTTGAATAAGATCATGAGGGCCATATGAACAAAGTAACCAGCAGAAATAACAAGAGATAGCATCCTATTGCTTCTACCTTAAACTCTGCAGTCTAATCTCAAAAACTACTACTGATGAATTCTCCAGCCTCTCTCAGCTATGTAGTCACTTATTTGTGTCAGCTGAGGCTTTTTGGTGGGAGGAATACTGTAGTAAAACTATTCTATTTTCTGATGGGACATAACACCCCAGTGGAAAGATGCCTTTAATTTTATTCAGTTTATTTTGTAGTGTGGCTTCTTTTACAACTTTTTCTCCTTGTTACAAAATCAGCAGACTACTTGCTGGACTTGCTTGCTGGGAGGTTAATTCCAATGAGACTGCTGGGGCCAAAAAAAAGTTTTGCCATCTCCACCCAACTTAAGTGCATTATAGCTGCAGATGAAGTCAAATATGTGATTACCATATTCCAATACTTCTTCCAGTAATCAAATACTGAGCTACTTTATTTCTATCAGAACATAATGCATATACCATGCTAAATCCTTGAGTAAGATTGGTACAGCTGTAGTTAGGATCTACAGATCTAAGTAAAGATTGAATAACATTTTAGTGCTGTCCGTACACAGTCCAAAAACAAAGCATGTTATGACTTCATCAGGAAACTTTAATCACACGGGTCACTCAGAAAGCCTTTTTTCCATGTTTCTAGTAGGACTTAATTTATTAATAAGCATCTTTAGGAAACCAGAAAGCAATTTTGAAATTTAAAAGGCTAATAATAACGATAATTTCCACTATATTTTCCTTTTGGTCAGTAATAAAGCTGACCAAATAATATCTCTTTACTAAAATCATTAAAAGAAATGACTTCTCAGATAGTACCAGATTTTAGATTTTATCTAGTATTTAAACATAATTCTGACAAAAAACAGGTCAGTGGTATTTAAACATTGCACCTAAAGAAAAGAAGTGTGTTTCCAGATCAGTAGTACAGCCCAAGCAAATTATCCTAACAGTAGATTTCATAAATTAGCATAGTCAAAAAGACTGAGGGTTTTTAAAGTACCAAAAATATTGGATATTACTAGGGGGTGGTAACTTCACACAGCTGAAAAGCAAAATAATTGTCTCAAGTGACATACAACCAGTTCTCTTCAAAGGCAGTGAC